TCTCTCTCTCTCTCTCTCTCTCTCTCACACACACACACACACACACACACACACACACACACACACACACACACACACACACACACACACACACGCCTGCGTGTGTGTTCGTTCCCACAAATTAGGCCAATACGAAGCCCATGGTGATCACGACGAGTATCAAGCTCTACCGGTCATGATGACAACTCTAATAGAGTGCTCGCATCACAGGAAACAACTGCAACCACGAGCAACAACAGATCAACGGTAGCATCTGAGCACAACGAGCATCTGAGCACAACGAGCATCTCGAATCGCCCTCACAAAAATGTGCAAAATGAGAATGAATCCTGCAGTAGATTATGGTAAGATTCATTGTCAACGATCTCCCCATTTTTCCACGCCTCCTACCTCGATTCCAATTCCCCAATCACTACGCCAACGTCCCGACTAAAGCTACCATCGGGGTCGTCTTACTCCGTGGTCTTATAGGCAAACTTTCACCGGCCTTTTCTCATCGAGAGGTGAGGGAGTTCAACTCTCTCTGTCTCTTTCTCCGTTCACCTTGCGTGCAGGATGAGGATGAGAACCACGATCTGAAGAAGAGGGAGATCACGACACGAAGGCAATGACCGCTGCGATGAAGAAGGCTGTGACGACGGACACCACGAGTATATGCGCTACGATGCCACACTCCAAATGAGCACCCGGGTGACAAGCACATGAAAAGTCAATCAGGGGGAGAATGGAATTGAGAGTGAATCTTCCACTAGAACATGGGAGATACATCGCCGTGCGCGGCTGTTTTCCCGCTCCTCCTTGCAGTAATTGCACCTGCGGCTCTACTCACCGCAGGTTGAATATAAGAGTGAATTCTTACAGGATTTGAGGGAAGATACACGCGGCCACAAGGAAGAGCACCTCCCTGCAATCCCGATCCCGAAAGGTAGCCTCGAATTAAAGGATGATAAGGAGCCTGATCGGGAAGGACATGACTTCGACAGGTATGGGGAAGATCACCGCTGAGATCACAAGCATATTGGAGGAGAACACCATAGGAGCACGGACCTCGACAACTAACATCGTGAGGAAGCAGAGCTGCAGTGACGAATCAATGATGCGCCCCATCACTTATCAGTCGCTGCAAAATGAGAGTGAATTTTCCTCTAGAACCGGGAAAAGTACATTGCCACTTCGAAGTTCCTTCTCCCAAGCGCAGCCCACAACCTTCATAGCATCAAAAATGCCCCACTGCAAAGTATAACGCCGCCAATAGGTTCCCCACACCTGAAACCCCCCACTATCTTGCTTGAATCCATTGAGATTCGCACGAGATATGGACTTTTCACTCCCGTCAAGTCCTCCCTCTCGACACTCTCCACGCACTCACTTTCTCTGCCATCTCCGTGCACAGCACTCTATCGGGCAAACTAACTGCATCATCTGATTCACCCCGCTCCAAAATCCCTAATTTACATCTTTTCTCGCCCAATTCCGTCAAGAACCGGGCGAGTTCTTCGTTTTTTCCCTTCGCCGTTCTCTTCTCCTCCCTGCCATCTTTGTCGTCGTCTCCGTGATGTTGATGTCAACCCTACTCCCGTTCTGTAGCGCAGACAACAGCGGTTGGTCTAACTGAAGAGGCCCTGTAGGCAGAAAAGGAAGAAGAAAGAAAAGAAAAAAGAAGAAACAGTGCCCGCATACCTTCGGCCTTTCTCGGTTTGTGTGTCATCCTTGCGCAGGGGCCATGCTAATCTCCTCTGTATCGTTCCAATTTTAATGGATGTCCCGAAGGGCAGTGCTGGGGCTACGCCGCCAGGCTATCTTTTTTTTTTTTTTTTTTTTTTGGTTTTGGAAAACACCCCCACCAGTGATAGCGGTGCAGATAAGAGCAGACACCACTAGCACCTGGGGAGAAGCTCCATCTATTGGTGGGGAGCGTCACCTGCTGGAAAACGGGTCCAGCGTCCCTTATACAGACTGAAGTACGCCCCCAGGCTATCTAAAATTGCAGTATTTTACTCATCTGCCTCCACGAAGTTCGAACTCAGGCCTGTATTTCAACAATTCAGGGGTGTACCAACTGAGCTA